CGAACTCCAGTGTGAGCTGGATGAGTTACCTATCGAAGCATCTACTCGGCGTGTTGCAGACCACTTTGAAATTCGGTACTAATAAAACAGGAATTCAAAGGTTCATATTGTTTATCTTCTTTTTATTCCATATGTGTCGCATTAACCCCACCCCTCCAAAGCTTATTTGTCCTGTCTAGTTCTGAACAATGCTCCAGTAGTTATCTGCACATAGATAGTAACCCTAATTCTGAAAGACTTTCCTCTGTTCTGTTCAGTTCAGTCACCATACACATACGGTCAGTTTGCCGAGTTTTATTTTTTGGGATACGGTGCTGTTGTTTGCATTTTGAGTAGTGCCATCACACAAAAAACGGAACAGACAAACTCTCAGCCTGTTAGGAATCATTCGAAAGTTGGGGAATTGACATGTAGTTATCGTTCTTTTGGAAGGTATCCTTCGAAATAAACACTGTAAAAGTGTAAGTTTTATCAAGGTAACTAAATCCTGCTCCATATAGTTATGATAAATGGGATGGAGATTCGGACAGCCCTGAATATGAACACACTTACTCGCCATACAGATATAAATACGGATTTTCTGAACTAGACACCATTCCTTGTTCACCAAAAGAGTGCTCTGACAGGTAAGAACACTTGACACACCACTCGAAAGGCATTCAGCTGAATATTTTTAATGGTTTGCAATAACATGGAAAGGTTGGAAATTTAGAAGCCTCTGAACAGTGGTGAAAATGTTCTTAGCTCAGGGATGCTCAACTAATCCGCAGTATGAGAATTCAAAAGGGCCCTCTTGTCATACGATGTCCTACCTGCTACATTGTATTGTTGTATTGTATATTGCATATAGTCTATCGTATACCTTATTATTCAGCCTCCAGTAATACAGTCAGCCTCTTTCAAAAGCGTTCTTAATACAGTCACCCCCTTTCAAAGCGTTCTTGCAAATTCTTGTGCGTATACAGCTTTCTTTATCAAAGCGGCTTTAGTGATTCGATCATCAGTCGCACAAGTGGACAAACGCTACAGTTTTCACAAAATAAAATTTCCATTTGTAATTTATTTTAACGAAACTTCTCTTTTTAAGAAAGCGATTGTTCGAATACATTAATTTTTGGCAGTACTTCAATGACGTGAGATATCGAAAGGAAGATTGAGTGTTTGTTATCGGTAGCCCTCTTTGGGATCATCAAAATCCGGGCCATTGATGACGGGAAATGCGTGTTTTTGGGCACACTAAGGAGCGGTCTCATTTCGGAGGCGATTACTGCAATTTACTGATAAGCTGTTTCAGAGTACGTCATTCGTCGTTTATCGGGTTTGTTCATAGTTGTTGAACTTGGCTGCATGCTCGTGATACTCATTTGAAACTCATTGTTATTTACAAGAATCTCACGCGCAAAAAATCTGTTCCTTGAAATCTTGTTTGGAAGATTCGTTCCTAAGTGGACTGACACCACAACCATTTTCCTAACTCTTAATTTCTATTTTTGCCGGGTCACTTTCGAATCTTCCCAAGTGAATCTCGTTAACATTTGTTTGATAGAAAATCAGGCCAGGATTTTCTCAGGATTCGCATCAGTTCGTTAATGGATATTAACCTAGGGTGTTGTCCAAAGTTGCGTTCTAAGGCGATATACATTCGTCCGGTTAAACAGAACTGTTCCCATGTTACGGCTCGGAGTTGGTCTTGAGGATTTCTGACTTTTTTGGCCTTACTTCCATTGAAGACCATTCTGTGGACAATAAACTGACCTTGCCTGCAAGTTTCAAGCAAAGAAATCCATGTACGTTCATCAGAACTTCAGTGACAGTATGTCTCGTCAAGCTCCTACGTCTAATCTTGTATTCGGAAACATGGTCTGATGTGATACTACTCTGTGCACCTATGGAAAGCACTGTTTTTCAGATATGCAAATTCAGATTTAGTTTGGTTGAAGTTGCTTTCCGCTTCACCAGCTACCACAATTGCTTACAGTCCTTGTCAATACGGTGTGGTGCTCTCGCAACAAACAGTGGATTTGCCAAAGAATAGGGGCTGTTCTGATTGGTCCGATGTTGACCGTACTGATACTATTGATCGGTGTGTGACCACCAAGCACCACCTAGTGTACAACAATGTGCACCTCTGGTTATGCTTAATCTCAGTATAGCTAGTTGAACATAAACAACATATCTCAAAGGTGCTACTCTCTAACTCTGCATGGGAATACACTTTTCTAGTTTTCTCTCATGCACCAAACGATTACACAATGGAAGCAGCAAGTGATGTGAAATTAAACTCGGAAGAACGTGCAACAACTGAGGACTGCTTCTAAATCAAACGATTTTGGGATGGCAGAATTGATTACCTGAATGAAACTTCTGGTTAACTTATACACAATGACGTCCATCGATCGGAGTCCACGAAACTTTGCGGAAGTCTATCAAAGTCATAACCGAAATTTGTCGGGACCCTCAATAGCTTTGGAACAGTAAGTCATAACTGCTTTCACCAAGTTGTTGAGGCTAAAATGAAGTCGTTTCCAAAATATTTGATTTTAATTTTAATCATGGTTGCATTTGAGCATGAAACGCTCCTTAAGAAAGGCACTTTGTTAAATGAGGCTCAGGATGAGAGATTCAGCAGTCTAATCGGAAAATGAATGTTTATTTGCGAAAATATCCAAGTGCGAAGTAACCTTGTTTGGGATTCGGAGAATAGATTTGTGTGGTGAGCACTCACAATGGCAAAACCGGCAATCCGACGTCCAGCGCTCTTCACTGATCCTATAAGCGGCGTCACGTGATGAAAATTTACTTCAACATCGGAAACGTCGGGCCAACTGTAACATGAAGTGATCGCTCGAGATTCGATTGAGTCGTACGCTAGTGCCATCTCGGTTAGCCAGCGAGTGTACTTCTGCAGTATGCCATATTTGCTTTCGTTGAACCACTTAGATGGGTATATATCATCAACAAACGTCAACATCAAAGCCGAAAGAAGCATCTCACCGAACAAAAATCTTCAAGTTAGACTGTAGTGGACGCCTATTGGTCTTCATCAAAAACGATTGCTATAACACGAAGGAGCACGATATCAGGCGTTCACTGGCGTCCATATTTGGTTACCATTTGCTTCTGCGGGAAAGCATTTTCAAGAACTTTATACCCGCTCTTATAAAGTGAAAATTAATCTTGGTTTTTCGACTAATTGATCAAGTTGAATGAGACGTATCGGAACAAGTGAAACTCTGAGCACAACACTGAATCCTCGCTCACAGCTACATGTTGCCAACAATCAAAATTGACCACTTCCAACTTCATCTCGACACAACAATTTTTTCGCCAAAGCATTCAATTCCAGTGGGATCCGTCAGAAATAAAGTTGCGAGACATCACATTCGCCTGCACGAGCACATCAAAAGATTCGCGGTACAATAATCATGTGTGAATTCCAACTGGCCTTGTCTCATGTGGTTCGTAAACACTTGCAAAACCTAACTCGATTGCTTAAGCTCTCAGCTTAATGCAGGCTAGTTTTCTATACTGCGCACAAAATACATTGCTATGTGCTCATTCTGTTAGTAAAAGTCGTTGGGGATATCACAGTGTAGGCTTCAGAGTACATTGTTTACTTGCCGACACCGTGTATGCTGGCTGTGGGAGAAGCCGGTGTACTGGTTGTCAAGGCAGTTAACGTAGGCTTTTTTGGCTTGTTTTTTAGTCAGGTAAACTTTGTCATCAGAACCAAATTTAGTGTTCGAAAATGGGAAGAGTTCGTCCAATGTCATGAACATACCATTAGCAATAGGCATAGAGGAGAATCAATTTCTGCACACGCCCCCAGCGCACGCATGATTTTATCGATACAATTTTTTAATATACTACGTTAAGCAGCTTGATTTCACTGCTGCAGTAGAGCCAAACGCTCTAAGATCTGAATGGGAAGAGTTCGTCCAATGTCATGAACATACCATTAGCAATAGGCATAGAGGAGAATCAATTTCTGCACACGCCCCCAGCGCACGTGCACGTATGATCGATACAATTTTTTAATATACTACGTTAAGCAGCTTGATTTCACTGCTGCAGTAGAGCCAAACGCTCTAAGATCTGACCGAACCGTGCGACATTTCCAGTTATAGTGTGGAATTATGCGCCGGGGTCAGGACCTGAAACGCCCTGATACTTTAGAAATAGATCATTACTACTGACGAGATGCACATCTGCAAATAAAGTAGGTGCTAACTGGAGGCAAATGAATCCAAGATTTTTATCTCAGTTATGGTGTTCTTTAATGCAGTTTTCTGCGTATAGGCCGTCTCATGTTTAGTTCGTAGGCTACTGGAGATGACAAAATGGACTTTACCGGCTGCGCACACCACTTAGAAGTTTATCAGTAACTCTACAGCAGACCATCACTGATTTTACTCATCCTGGAGCTCACCGGCCAGACAAAGTTTCCGAGATTCCGCCAACCTTATGTTTACTGCAACACCAAATTGTTTTAAAGCAAAAAATTAGTTTTTTGCAAATTAATTTGGTGATGCTCGTGAACCCAAACGAATATGTTATCAACCCCATTCTTTTGAGTTGGTTTTTCATCGCATGATTTCCAGTAGAGCTTCACGCATATCTGTTCTCACTACAGCCCATGCACCATCCACTAACCCGCATAGAAGTGGTTCCGACAGTTTCTCTGACAGTAACTCCTTTCATCACCTTGGCAAAGTTCATCAATTTTCCAGCATCCACTTCTTCCACAATGGCGTAGTTTTCTCACATTCCAATTCTTGAGTGCCAACAAATGCTCGTTGTTTTACTCAGAAACGACGATTAGCAGCATGTTGCCTTGTGATCAACATTAAGTCCATGTTTAGCTGTCGACTGAATTCATGTGGCTACTGAAGTTTTCTTGGGGATTAAACCACATATTAGGAATAGGTAATGTCGGAACGCGGATACCACACAGCCAGTAATCACATTTCACTGGGTCTAATTATGCACCTCCAAGTTTCTCATTCTTGATCATGATCAAGATAGTCGGTGGTATATGATGACTGAATCAGGTTCGACAGCTGAGTATAAGTCTGGCGTTGTTCGAAATGGGCACAGGCGCACACAACTTTAGCAGAGCGCGCTCTTTCGAGTTGAATTCGAGCTCTCATTATTGTAAGATTGATGCGGTTTCGATCACCGACGACCCTTCTGGATCCAAATTTGTGAGAGTATTATTCGGGCCACTGAGCGTCCAGCCCCAGCATCATTTTCTTCCCACTTCTACGAGGCCTGTGTCGTTTAACTTCGCAAGATCAGTTTTATAGCCTTTGAGCCCATTGACAACATCCGTCGTTCTCCGTTTAATCCTAGCCCTATCCCCCATGTTTGATAGGGTCCTGATGTTTTTGATCTGAATTTCGCTTTGTGTGATAATGCTTGTTCCAAAACAAGGTTCTTCCATTTGGATTAAATCACAGACGAGAGGTGGAGCGTGTACTCATCTGAGTTGTCCGTTAGAGCCGAACTGGTTTTCAGATGACTGGACCGATACGAGCCGACGCCCAAGTGTGCTCTGTGAAGAAGGTTACTATTGTTGTGAATATCACGATAACTATTACTGATAGAATTGCACAAGGTAGCATGCCATGTCAATACATGGGCGAGATGGCCCAAGTGGTTAGAGGGCGAATTTGCTGACCGGAAGGTTCGTGATTCGAACCCAACCCATGACTCTCAACTTCCCCTGCCTAGGCTTGTGCGACCTGGCAGTATCCCAGTCCCCGTGAAACCTTCGGGTGGCATGGCAGCTAGGCACTGAAAGAGCGCTACAGCTGAACAACACACCAATTGTTAGTTCTACTTCGTCACAAATTCAAGGTCAACGACATTTTCAGACACGTGCAACCGAAACAGAACCCCGTGAGATGAACGATCGGCGACAACTGAAGGGATAAGATGAACCGTCATCTTATGCTCCTCTGGTGAGGCGAGAGATCGGCATGACGTGGTGAATAACACTTGTAGGGAAAATAACCGGATGGCGGGTTCGCGTTCGGAATGACCCCATTCTGTTTCACACCCACATATTCATCACGATCACGACTCCATGTGCTCTATTTGCGCCCCATAGCTTAGACGGTCACCTGAACGACACTTGCCAATAAACTTTCGAGGTCGCTGACTCATTAAGGAGAGAACTCCAACAGAGTGTGTTTGCACATTCCCACCCCGTCCACATAAGTTCTGCGCGTGGACATCCACGCGCCACGATGCTCTAGAAACATCTGCTCGGAAAACCTTCATATGCGGAATTGAAGGACATTCATCATTTGTGACAGCTGGTACCGGGATCTCAAATTAAGCAAGTGAACAGTGCTCAACGAGCAAGCGCGCACAAGACAAACATATGCACAGATAATTCCGCCTTCCCATTCCAGTCAGCTATGAAAAACTACGTCCCAAATAGTAGAACAATGACTTCTAATCTCAACCGTTGTTTAGAAAAAACGGTTCTTTGTCCCTTTTACAGTTGGCCTGTACAGTGTCCGTGGGATAAACGAAAAATTAAAGCATGCAGGCACATCCAGAATGATTCTATGTACAGGGACGTAATTGCTGGGAAAGAATTAATGGTTCCATGGGATTCGAAAAAATAATATCAGCTCTGGGAGTGTTCACAGCTCCATATTATGAACGCACACCATTGGACCCTGGAAGCGAACACAGTTACTAAAGTTCCTCCGTACATGAAGAACAATAGAACTCACGACCACTGACACTTATGTAAAATAATTAAAGTGATCCGAAATGAGGATTGTTCGCTCGTGTCAGGGCCCAGTTCGGATGTCCCATAAAATCCTGATTAACCCATCAACGAAGAATAACCGGAATAACCTATCCGTTGTCAATCGAATTACACGAGTAGAAATCACTGAGCTTGAAACGTTTAGTGTTAACACGTGTAACATTTTGTGGAATAATTTAGGCAAAAGTTACATCCTAATGCTAAGTTGACGAACATATCAAGTGCATGTCTGGTTATTGCATTCAACAGCATCTTCTTCAGAACGAATTGCCATATCACATGACCACGCTAAAGACTACTTGCTTAGGGCAATTATATTTATTCATTTACAAATACATAACATCCTAAGACCGAAGCAGTTTTTCGAGCAACCCCTGTTCCAAAGGCAAATTTTCCAGAAAGCAGGAAAGCCCACAAGTCGCGTGCACCTTTCATCTGAAAAATCATCACTCGCCGAGACACGCATCACTGGATCAGTTGACGTGAACTAAGTGACTGATAGGTAGTGTCACTACTACCTGCCCAAAGTCAAGTCAGGTCACTCGTAACCACATAGTTTAGCATTCAACTCTTGGCCACACGGTCCCGGGTTCGACTCTCCTTGGGGATTTATGAAGTGGCCACAGATACCTCTTCTCAACAGAGGTGAAATAGCTGTGTAATCCTTCACGGTCTTCTAGCGCAAAACGACTTTACTTGCGTAATACAACTTTTATTAAAACTCACTGCCTTAAAGGATACTGCTTTTAAACTATCTTCGGGACATATCTAACACCGAGGTATATTCGTTAAGCTTATGTATGCATGTATGTTACGCGCTCGGAAACTGTTGCAGAGGATTTGAGAAACAAGGAATACTTCAAGGTGAATTTTATGCGACCATACACTGGAATAAGGAGAACGCGTACCGGTTGGTAAAACTGAGAACATTATTTCCGGTTGGGCGGTATGAAAATAACCCATAGGACCAATGAAAAAGTGTCCGTGATCGGCAATCGACTTCATCTCGGTACTTTATCCTGCGGATTCGAAAGACACCGACTTATAATGTAGTGAGCAGCACCTTGAACTGGATATCTGCTGACTTGCGTGTCGATATATAGCCACAATTTGTGAATCGTCCTCACACAGGGTGAAGCTTCGCTACTATGTACCGTCAGTGAGCCTACTGTAGCCCGTCCGTTGACGGGTTTTACAAGTCAGCCTCAAATTCAAGTGCGACATAAAATGTTTCACGTTTGGTTCACATTTGTCTATGACCAGTGTTGAGAACCTTCATGAAGGACAGTCTTTCTCCAACGTCATATTAAATGTATCTGCTGTATGGGCCCCTGGCCACCGCCAATCAGTTATTTCCAACGATTTTGGAACACTTATTACTGGAAGGCAGAGCTCCCTCAAATGAAATGTAAATCGCCGAGGCGGAGCTGCGGAAGCCGCCTAGGGGTATGAAAGATTTTTCAGAGCTTCACCAGGATGCCAGTCAAAAACTGAAGGTGAACAGCGAAAGTATTCTTAAATATACTGTGTACCTTACTCGATAATTCCGTACTGAGGGGCTTCAAATTATCTGTATTAGGCGTTGTTCTCTGTTTACTGTCCGTATCTCTTTGCCAACTTAGATGAAACGATTAGCCCAATGTCTCAGATGGAGTCTGTGGCATATGGAAAGAAAATCGTTGAGTTGTCCCAAATAAATACAGGGAAGAAAAGGCAACTGCAAGACTTTATGTAGTTGAGTTTCCGGACGCGCTGAGCGTCCAGCAATTAATTTTATGAGTACTTTTCATAGAGAAAACTTAACCTGTACCTTGAAGCAATCAAATGCAGTTCTTGCGAAGACTTGGTCGTATAACTCACACTTTTGTAGCAGCTGGAACCAATGTGCCTAAGGTACGTGGTTTATAGCTGAAAATTGGCTGATTGGAACATGATTAGTGGAAGAAATTGAATCAAGCTGAAAACCCTCTACAGAATGGCCGACAAGAAGACTGAGTTTCACCCCAAAGTATGTGGTAAAAGCCCAAAGACGTTACGCTTCCAGCCCTTTAAAAATGCACCTCAGTTAAGTACCTAAGTAGTTTGCGCTGTTAGGCTAAACTTCTCGTATCTGCGAATGGCAACCAAGTAGTTAAAGTTCTGTGGTTTTCTTTCAGCATGACTCGTAAATAAGAAATTTGAAAGGTTAAAAAGAACTCTGATGTTCACTCATACTGACAGACTTTATTTACAGGGCACCTGGCATTCACAGTATCTGATAGAAACATGTTTGTATAGCTAAACGCCTTACGCAACTGTGCGGATAGTATAGGTTGTAGTATAGCGACGATAACAGCCATTGACTAGATCATTCGCGGATGAACGTTTACACAGATGGATGAAGTAGTGTTGAACCCGGATGCCCCTATGCGAACTGAATAGAATTCCAGAACAAAGGAAGAACGTCTCAGCCGTTGACCTGCTACAAAAAAGATGGGAACTCGTCCTCCGAAGCATGAATGTACCGAATAAGAGCTGCTATTGAGGGTGGGTGGTCATTGTAGTGGTGCACGCATATCGTAGATGTACATAAAACTGGATTGTGTGAATAAATCCTCTGATTTATTTAACATGAAGGGGAACGAGTACTTTTCAGCATCATCCCTTCAACAAACTTCTGCACGAATGAAGACAAGTCTGAGCATTCAGATATGAACTTCGGACAGGTCATACATGCATTACCTTTAAAGAACATGTCCAGTACCAGAAGCTGCGTTGTTTGCGTATGCCGAACCATCGGTTGCCGAAGAGAGTGCTATTTTCCATGCCCGTAAACAGAGGTGGCCAACCCTTGACTTGGCAGAGGAGTATGAAAGAAATCACGAAACGCTTGAGTGCTCTCGGTTCTACTCGCCTTCCAGGATGGGGACCGCGTGATCCTCACTGTGCCTGGTTGGAGACACTGCAAGATATGGCTGCCAACCGATATCAGTGGCGTTCTTGTCATCAGTTTCTATCCAGATCGCCTGAGTGAGTGTCTGGGGGTATAGACACCTCGGAATGATTATGTTAGGCTAACACCAAGTCCCTTCCTCGTCCACCTTTACTATTTTCTATACAGTAAGGCTTTCAAATAAATCACGGTTCTACGGCAGTGGAGCATCGGTGTTGAACACTGATGTCATGCTGTCGATGATGATGATGATGATGATGATGATGATGATGATGGTGACTATTTTGAGATAAAAAGTGAATCTCATAACAGGCAAACTTTGGGATCGGAGAACTGATTAGGAGGGTCAATCTCAGTTGAATTCCTCGCCTCGCTCTTTCCCGAAACTCAGTGTAACTATCTGGTCGCTTGAACGGCGATGATGATGTGATGATGATGATGATGGTGACTATTTTGAGATAAAAAGTGAATCTCATAACAGGCAAACTTTGGGATCGGAGAACTGATTAGGAGGGTCAATCTCAGTTGAATTCCTCGCCTCGCTCTTTCCCGAAACTCAGTGTAACTATCTGGTCGCTTGAACGGCTGTTGCTTTCGATATCTGTTAGAATTTTTTGCAATTTTTTTCCCAGAACGAACCTCGTCAATCACTGTGTGCAGCTTCAGTTGATGAGACTCCCGCCACCAAGTACAAATGACTAATACCCAATCACGGTCCACAACA